CTCTTCTTCTTCTTCAATTCTGAAACATGTTCTACATGTGATGCATGCTCATTGTGGAAATTGTAGAAAATAGAGGGGAACAAAATAGAAGTGTAAAAGTCAGAACATGTTCAGCTTCAAGTGTCAGAAATCAATCCCAACCTGGTGTAGGTGATTCAAGAGAATGTATCAATACAAGGATGTTGTTCCAGGGATGAGTCAGGCAGGGCTACATCCAGGGCTCAAACAATCCTGGCAAGGTGCTGTCTTGCTCACTCTATTCATTTCTCCATTTCTTCTGCCTATTCCAGGCAGAAGAGGTCTAAAAGTAAACACGACTAACTCTAGACTAATTCCCATCATTTGAAGAACCCTACTGGAAAGAAGAGTCTCAGGGAGGGATATGATTGGCTGGGCATGTATCACATGTGCATCCTTGAGCCAATCAGCCAATCCCTGTGGCTACAAATGAAATGTTCTGATTGGACATGTTAGTGAGCCAGTGGCTGGGAAGGTGGAGACAAGTCCCCCTTGAAATACAAGGAATAGGTTTCCTATAAGAAGGAGGGTTTTTGTTCCAGAAGAAAGAAGAGAAAGGGATGAGTTGATGAAAACATGAGGAGTCACTTTAAGACGCAAATACAAATTTCTAATCCTCCCACCAGAAATAAGGGCTGCTGACTTCTTGATGTAGATCCTCCCAGAATTCCCTACTCACCATCTAATGTGTCTATACTTACAAGTATGTGTTAGACATATAGAACATTGAAATGCCCAAGAAACTTTTGTAAATGATTTTGACTGCCCCCATCAAAAATATCAATTACATATCTCGAAATCCAAATGGTTTATTTCCTTGGTCAGAAAATCAAAGAATATAGACAAGCAAAAACGAAATCTAATTTATGACTGGTTGCAGCTGACAGTAAGACTTTCAAGAAGGCAAGTAAAAAGCAAGGTTGAAATAAAGGGATTTGTTATGTCTCCTCATATGACAGCCTGTCTTCTCTTCATGGTGCTTTCCACATTTATAATTATTTATTAACTACTTGCAGTGGCTTATGTAAAATTATTCCATTATGAGCTATTCCAGGTACACACAAAAAAACTGTGGGCTGATTTAGTGAACAACCATTTATGCTTCACTCAGCTTAGGAAATGTAGCATAACAAATACAATCTCATCCCGCTGGATCCCATTTCAGTCCTGTGCCTTTTCTTCTGTCTCTCTCTCCCTTCCCAGTGATGATCTTTATCCTCAGAATGCATTTTTTATTCCATGTACATTAAAATTTTTTTTAAGTTTATTTCTTATTTTTAGTAATCTCCACACCCAACCTAGGGCTCGAACTCATGACCCTAGGATCAAGAGTTATAGGCTCCATTGACTGAACGAGCCAGGTGCCCCTCCATGCATATTTTTATACTTTTCATTATGTATGAATGATCTGTTATCAACATGTAGTATTTTTTTTTTATTAAAAAAATTTTTTTTCAACGTTTTTTATTTATTTTTGGGACAGAGAGAGACAGAGCATGAACGGGGGAGAGGCAGAGAGAGAGGGAGACACAGAATCAGAAACAGTCTCCAGGATCTGAGCCATCAGCCCATAGCCTGACGCGGGGCTCGAACTCACGGACCGCGAGATCGTGACCTGGCTGAAGTCGGACGCTTAACCGACTGCGCCACCCAGGCGCCCCTCAACATGTAGTATTGTGTTGCATGTTTTAAAACTTTGAGTAGAATCCTGCTGTACATATCATTTCATGATTTAGCTTTTCCCCCCGCTATTATGATTTTTTCAATTTATCAAAATTGTTTCACTTATTCCATTTATTCACTTATTTCACTACTGCTGTTACTACTACTGGTTACGATGGCATTCTACTGGACAACCGTATCGCAATTTACTTACCCATTCTCCTGTAAGCGAGCATTCAGCTTTCTTTCATAAACAGTGCTGCTATACACACTCCTGGACATCTCTCCTCGTGAAAAGTGACGGAGCTTCTCCAGTCCTACGGTATATACTCAGGAACGGAACTGGTAGGCTGTAGAGTTGGCACGTCTCCAGCTCAACTAGGTGTCACCAAACTGCTCTGCAGAGTGGATGTGCCAGTGTACACTCTTACCAGCCACCCACGAGGCTTCCTGTTTCTCCAGAATTTGGTTTTGTCACATTTTCCATCTTTGCCGGTGTGATGCATGTGAGCTTCTGGTCCTTCGCACCTGTTGTTTGATCCTGGATAGCTGGAATCATACATCTTGTTCACCATGGTTTTCCTGGCACTTAGCACAGCTCCTGGGACATAGTAGATGTTCAGAATTGGGGGTTGACTGAGAAAGAGTTTTCTGGTTCCTCCCCTTTGCTACAGAAGACACCTGTTCTCCAGCAAACCTGCTTCTGCCTACTCCTCTCCTTTGAAGATCAGAGACCTCCCACACACTAAATGGAGAGGACAGTTTGGAGCTCCCCTAATTGCCTTTCATTTGGGCAGCAGTTCTGAAAACCTATGCACGGGCATCAGGATCACCTGGAGGGCTTGTGGAAACACGGATGGCTGGGCGTCACCCTCAGAGCTTCCCGTTCAGGATGTCCAGGGTGCTCTAAGAATTCACATTTCTGATGAGTTCCTACCTGGTGTTGATGCTGCTGGTTTGCGAAGCATACGTTGAGAACCAGTATATCAGAGAAACATCCAATCCAAACATTTTGGATATGTTCTGTGTGGCATGCCCGTAAAGAGACTCACACCGGTCAGAGTGGCTAAAATGAACAAATCAAGAAACTATAGATGCTGGTGAGATGTGGAGAAACGGGAACCCTCTTGTACTGTTGGTGGGAATACAAACGGATGCAGCTGCTCTGGAAAACAGTGTGGAGGTTCCTCAAAAAATTAAAAATAGATCTACCCTATGACCCAGCAATAGCACTACTAGGAATTTACCCAAGGGATACAGGAGTGCTGATGCATAGGGGCACTTGTACCCCAATGTTTATAGCAGCACTTTCAACGATAGCCAAATTATGGAAAGAGCCTAAATGTCCATCACCTGTAGAATGGATACAGAAGATGTGGTTTATATGTACAATGGAATACTACCTGAATGAGAAAGAATGAAATCCTGCTATTTGCAGCAACATGGATGGAACTGAAGGGTATTATGCTAAGTGAAGTAAGTCAGTCAGAGAAAGACAGAGATCATGTTTTCACTCATATGTGGATCTTGAGAACCCTAACAGAAGACCAAGGGGGAAGGGAAAAACAGTTACAAACCGAGAGGGAAGGAGGCAAACCATAAGAGCCTCTTAAGTACAGAGAACAAACTGAGGATTGATGGGTGGGGGTGGGGGAGAGGGGAAAGTGGGTGATGGGCATTGAGGAGGGCACTTGGTGGGATGAGCACTGGGTGTTGCATGTAAGCCATTTGACAATAAATTACATTAAAAAATAAAATACAACCAAAAAAGAGAGAGAGAGAGAGAGACCAAATGCAAACTTTCAAAAGTCATTCCCAACGTGGATAGAGGAAGGAATAAATGTTTCATCCAACTCCACTTGGCTGGAATAGGGAAAGGAGGAGCCAGAATTCTGAATTCTGGGTCCCTCGAAAGTTCAAGACAGGTGGCAGCCCTTACAGAGACTGATCTAATTCAAAAAGAATATATATTGGGCGGCCGCTGGCAAGTTTTCACATCTTCTACAAGATTTCAAGGCAGGATCTTTTTTTCCACTGATACTTCTGAGACCATCCCTATCTTCTCTTCTTTCCCCTCCTCCTCCTCCTCCTCCTCCTCCTCTTTCTTCTTCATCATCATCAAACATTAATTTAATTCAAGTGTAGATTTGATTGTCATGATACCACAATAAAGACAGCTACCATTTATAGAGGGCTTGATTACAAGTACTTTATAATCTCATCTAATCAGCATTATTGCATCTAATCCTGCCTTAGGCCTCTCCGACTCCAATGTTGTGTTCTTTATTATTCCTATACACTATATTTCCGTAAGTGTTGGTCTGTTCATTCATTCATTTATCCATTCATTCATTCCTTCACCAAATATCTACTGAGCACCTGCTATGCAATGGGCATCCTGCTGCTGATGTGGGCACAAAAGACAGACAAAATCCCTGCTGTTATACAAACACTTATATTTCCAGTCCCAAAAAAGGGGTGATACTATCCCTCACTTAGGGTTGCTATAGGGATTAGGGAAATGTGTCCTGGTACACAGTAAGGGCTCAATAAATGTTGGCTCCTGGCCTCCTTTAACCCCCAGAGCTGGTAGCTTTCTATTCACATATGTCGGGGAGAACTGTTGGAACCATTTCTGAGACTATGTTCTTCTAGAAAGCGACATTTCCCTGTCCTTAAAATTCATGCAACCCACATGTTATTAACCTATCTGAGCAAAAGCCCATTTTCCTGGGCTCTCTGGGCTAGACTCAGGCTCTTGCTCCCCGCTGCCTCCGCTCCTTCTCATCTTCCTCTCAATTCTAGCTAGGATCTCAGACTATACATGAGTTTCGACAAACCAATGCTTTGGGAAAGCTTTGTGCAATTTTGAGCGATGAAAAAAATGGAGAAATAAGGGCTCCAGGCAACTGGTGTGATAGAGAAGAGAGGAAAAAGATAAGAGAAATGTGCAGCTTAGGAGGATGTTTGCACAGGCAACGAGAGAAAAATAAGTAACAAATGTCTACTTAGAGGTATTTTCCTTCAAGCGTCTGGAGCTTTTGAAGAACTGGGATAGGAGAAATCTACATTTTAGGAATCTAGGCTGCTGTTTATGTAATTTCCACCTTTGAGGGTTTCAGCTCCATCCTCGCTGACTGCGTGCTAGTCATTTCTTTGTCAGGCTCAGTTTTAGTGATTTTCATCCCCCCCCCACCCCCCAACAAGGGGGTTTAGCTGTGCAACATAGTCAATGCACTGAAGCCCAAATTGGAGATCTCTCTCACTACAGATGACATAGTTCAGAAGGGAAAAGTCACATGAAAACTGTACATTTCTTTCCACAGGCTTAGCAGAAGCTACACCTGGATTCCTGCCCCTGAACGGATGTAACCAGCATTTGGGCTTTTCTATTCAGTTACCTCCTTGTGGTGAGTGAAGAGCTTGGGTGTGTGTGGGGGGGTTTATTCCTTATCAACCTTGTGACCTTGGGCAAGGTCCCCGATCTATTAGAATCTCACTTTTCTCATCTGTGGAAAGATAACCATGACAAAATATATCCTCGGAGGTAGTTTCAGTGGGAGGGTTAAATGAGATACAATTTAGGAGTTCTTGGCATAGTATCTGGAGCATATTCACATTCTATAAATAAGGGCAAAAATTTCTTACCATCCAGACTTTTCTCGTGAAAAGGTCTGAAGCTTATACAGCAATCAAGGTAGGCAAAGTGGAATTCTATGGGCCCCAGCTTCTTGTCCTGCCACCTCTGAGACTTTGGGAAAGTCATTTCCTCCTCTGAGGCTTTGTTTTCTCCCAGTTTGGTGGGGGAGAGAAATTAGGGGGAAGGTTGGAGGCTTTAAAGGCCTAAAGAGATAATAAATAATAACCTATACATAATGTACTATATGTATAATAAGCTCTGTAATAGCTAGCATATATATATATATATAAAATATACCATAGCATACTGCATATTATATATTACAGTTTATATAATATACACTATAGCATATAAGCACTAGTTTATATGATACGTGCTCTCTTTATCATATATACTATGTAACATGAATAGCACATATATCATACATGCTATATATTATTTATATGGTATAATATATACTATATATGCTATAATATATACTGTATATAATGTAATATATATGATATATTACACCATACAACACACACTATAATAGAGATACTACATGCTATATTGAGCATAATATATTATTAGTATAATAAATAATACACCATGTGTTACATAGATTTGTATAATATAGATACTATACTATTATAATATTATATACTATGTAATATATGCACTTTATTTAATAAGGTATGGTATGTAATGTATGCTGTATTTAAGCAACTTTTATCTGTATAATATACCATACCCACTATATATGCTATTTACTATGTAATATGTCATGTACAATATAGTAAAAATGAAAATTTCTTGTGAACTGAAAAGCTCCAATTAATAGGAGATGTTATTAATTAGTTCCATCGAGGTGTAAATGACTGATATGGTTTATTTTATTTTTTTATTTATAATTTTTTAATGACTGACATGGCTTAAAGTGTGACCCAGACTCAGAACATTTCACATTTCACCACTGGCCCCCCACCCCCTCCAGCCCAAATATTTCTCTTGTGTCTTTACTGTTCAGTGAATGGCTCTATCCTCCTCCCAGGGTGCTCACCAAAGAGCCAGGAGTCACCGTTGCTCCCTTTCCCTTCCTCCCACTTGCACACCCTGCCACCCAGTCCTCCGACTGCCTCCACTCGTTCTGTCTGCTCTACCTCCAAAGTGGGGCCCAGATCCACCCACCACCGCCCCAGTTCAGGGCCGCATTGTCACCAGCCTAGACAACTCCAGTAGCCTCTTAGCCATTCTTTCCTGCTCCCTCCCTTGCCTCTTCATGATCTACCCTTCACATGGTAGCCTCACTGGTCCTTCGAGGGAGTAAATCCAATCACGATACTCCTCAGTTGAAAATGCTTGATTGCCCTTTCCATCACGTTTAGGATAAAACCCAAACTCTTCATGGGGCGCCTGGGTGGCGCAGTCGGTTGAGCGCCCGACTTCAGCCGGGTCATGATCTCGCGGTCCGTGAGTTCGAGCCCCGCGTCGGGCTCTGGGCTGATGGCTCGGAGCCTGGAGACTGTTTCCGATTCTGTGTCTCCCTCTCTCTCTGCCCCTCCCCCGTTCATGCTCTGTCTCTCTCTGTCCCAAAAATAAATAAATGTTGAAAAAAAAAAAACCCAAACTCTTTGCCCTGTAGGCCCTAGCTCCTGCCATTTGGCTTTGTCTGGTATTACTCCCTTGACCTACTTTGCTCACTCTACTCCTACACATCGATGACTGTCCAACTCTCAAATATATTGTGATAGATCCCGCCTCAGGGCCTTTGCACTTGCTGCTCCCATTACCTAGAATGCCCTTTGCCCAGATATCCACATGGCCCACTCCGTCACTTCACTCAGGACTCTACTCAAATGTCACTTTAACATTTCCTGACCACCCTCTAGCATATCATGCCTGTCCCCTCACTGTATACTATCTGGCTCTCTCTATATAGAATCTACATCTATATAATCTACATCTATATAGCAGCCACATCTACAAAGTGGATATAAAGTATCCCAAAGTGTGTGTGTGTGTGTGTGTGTGTGTGTGTGTGTGTGTGTATCTAGTACATCTTACATCCTCCACATGAGAGAAAGGCTCCATAACACTCCTGTGTGAGTTTTAAATCTTTTCATGGAAAAGTGTTTGGATAGTGAGAAATTCCACAGCTGCACATTCTGGAGGATTGCTATGTGCCAGGCATGTGCTGAGAAGCTTATTTCTTTATTTATTTTTCATTCTATCTCATGTGGCCCTCACCATCACAACAATGACTTGATGTCCGTATTATTTCAGGAGGGGAAGTCAGCTCAGAATCAATTTTATTGACATCAGCAATAATAGTAATAAGGGTTATTATATGAGTGAGTGGAAGTACAACAGGTGGCCTGTTCTGAAGCTATTCTGTGTTGTATGTGAACACAAAGCATTTGGTTTTCAAGAGCAGATTGAATGGACAGTCAGGCAGTCTGGGGAGGTGAGACATCCAGTTGTTCATTCCTAGAAGAATCCTTAAAGAGGGTCAAACTTGGAGGCACCAGGGTTTATTTTATTAGGGAAGGCGGCCTTTCCTCACCTCCCTATCCACAGATCCATGGCCCGAGGAATCTGAGAAATGGCTCCCTTAGTCCTTAGGCACAATCTGTTTCCATCGGGCGACAAGCATGGCTGGCATACAGGGTCTGTACCTTTCACTGCGTCGGTGATAAACCTTGAGCCAAATCAGAGTTACCGGCCTTGTGTTCTGTCGTCTGGGACCTCCCGACTTCATGTGGTGCACTCACACCCACATGCCCTTTTATTTATGACTTTTATTGAGTCTTCTGTGAAGTCATAAATTGACCAACCCTCCAGCTGGTTCGAGCCCTCATCAGGAAGCTGTCATCAAAGTGAATCACATTCTCAGTGGCTGTTCCTTCCCCAAAGGTTCATTGCAAAGGCTGGGATGTTTCCTGCCACTTGCTTGAATATCTGTCAGCTCCTGGCAGCCCAGACTTGCTAAGCCAAGGTTCTTCTTTTTTTTTTTCCATTAAACAAAAAAAAGTGAAATAAAAGGTGAAGAAGAGGTGTCTGTATTTGGTCAGGGGTTCTCTCATGTCGGTATAACATTCTGGAAAAGCTTCAATTTCTGGAGCAATGTAGTAGGTGAAGTTGACATACTTTTATTTCTGGTCCAGAAATATTCTGAATAATTCTTGTACCAGGGACTTGGGACAAGGCAGAGATCGACATATTCCTGGGGGGATCTGGGAACCAGCAACTTAAATAGAAAGTGAGATTGGGCCTTGGACTTGGGATGGATCTGAGTGGAAGTGATTTCCCTAAAAGCAAAAGGTGCTAGAGAGTCCATGACAGCTCCTCAGACACCTGTCAGGCCCTGTGTTGAGGGTACCACATGCATTATCTCATCGATCTCTCAACAATCCTCGGTTAAGCCCCCATTTTACAGAAATGGAGACTCACAGAAGTTATAGGACTATTCAACTCACTCTCGGTCACATGGATAGTAAGTGGTAGGGCCAGCATTTGAACCCAGGTCTTATCTTAACTTTATCAAAATTCATCCATTTCAATGTACAGCTCAGTGATTTTTAGTAAATTTTACAATGCGTGCAACCATCACTACAATCCAGTTTTAAAAATTTCCATTTGCCCTCCACAAGATCCCTTTGTGCTCATTTGAATGCAATCTGCATTTTCATCTGTAGCTCCAGGCAACCCACTAATCTTCAGTATGTCTCTGTGAATTGACTTTTTTCTGGACATTTTATACAAATGGAATCATATAATATGTGGTCTTTTCATCTGGCTTCTTTTATTTATCCAGCGGTACGTCCATGTGGTTCCAAGTATTAGTAGCTCATTCATTTTTAACACCGAATAGTATTCTACTGGATGGGTATACTGCATTTGTTTATCTACTTACCAACTGATAGACATTTGGATTATTCCCATTTCCTGGCTGTTATGAATGATTCTGCTATGACCATTCACATGCATGTTTTTGTGTGGCTGTATGCCTTCATTTAAAAAAAACATTTTTTTTGATGGTTATTTGTGAGAAAGAGAGACAGAGCACAAGAGGGGGAGGGGCAGAGAGAGAGGGAGACACAGATCTGAAGCAGGCTCCAGGCTCTGAGCTGTCGGCACAAAGCCCAATACGGGGCTGGAACCCATGAACTGCCAGATGGTGACCTGAGCTGAAGTCAGATGCTTAACCGACGGTGCCACCCAGGTGTCCCTGCCTTCATTTTTTTAAAGGTAGATTCCTAAGAGTAGCATTGCTGGGTTTAATGGTTTATGTTTAACTTTACAGAAAAACTACCAAGTTGATTGTTTTTTAATGTTTATTTATTTATTTTTGAGACAGAGAGAGAGAGAGAACTCACACACAAGCAGGGGAGGGGCAGAGAGAGGGAGACACAGAATCCGAAGCAAGCTTCAGGCTCTGAGCTGTCAACGCAGAGTCCGATGTGAGACTCAAACCCACAAACCGTGACATCATGACCTGAGCTGAACTCAAACGCCCAACTGACTGAGCCACCCAGGCACCCCCAAGCTATTTTTATTTAAAGTTGTTTTTTTTTTAAAGTTTGGTGTGCCTAGGTGACTCTTGGTTTTGGTTTCGGTTATGATCTTATGGTTTGTGGGATTAAGCCCCACATTGGGCTCTGTGCTGACAGCGTGGAGCCTGCTTTGGATTCTCTCCTCTCTCTTCCCTCTCCCCATTCATGCTCTCTCTCTCTCTCTTAAATAAATAAGCATTAAAAAAAAGGTCCAATAATTTTTTTTTTTTAAACG